GTAAAAACCACATTTATTTTTAATATTCCCTCAGTATTCCTCAAACTCCAAATTTCTGTAGTGTTCTGTAATGAGTTCTTGTGTACTCATTATTGAATGGAAGGTCCAAAACCTGTTGTTGTCCTTTTTTATTTTATTTTATATTTTTATTTTTATTTCATTTTTTTTGCCTCCTTGGGCCAGTTCAGCCTCACTCACTTCACTCTTTGGCACTGCTGCTGAGATGTCCCCATGTCCCGGGCCCTGTGTGTTTGCTCTCAACCCTGGGTTCTCGCTCTTCGCTTTCTGCCTCTCTCTCTCTCTCTCACTTTCCCTCCTTTCTCTCTTCTCCTTTTACCTTTCTGGTTATCTGTTGTCGGTGTGAGTCCCCAAAGTCGCTAACAGGATTCAACTGGAGCTAGAGAGACAAGCTGGGGGGGGGGGGGAGAGAGAGAGAGATGGAGAGAGAATGGATGCAGATGGAGAGAGAGAGAGAGTGAGTGAGACCAAGACTGGGTGAGAGAGCTCGCACCAAATCTGTGTTTCCCAAAGTTACAAGAGAGAATTTATCTGTGGGTTTATTCCTCATGTTGCATGGTCCTTTTTTTCTCTCCATCGCTGAGGATAATTGAGAGTTCACTGGGCACAGTTTAAACACACACACACTCAGAGATATATAATATCACATGTAATATCTATGTTATATATATATAAAATCTGGTATTTGGCAGTCCGTTGGGCTACGTTGAATGTAATTTATGACCAGGGAAAAGAAACTTGTGCCTGTTTTCCTGAGGAACCCCAGTTGTGAGAGACAAGGATGCCTCTAAGATGGGTTCTACTTCCGGGTGTAACTGGATGAACCGCCATGTTGCTAACAGTCATTCCGTTCTTGGTATAATTAATAGAAAATTAGTTTCTAAAAGTAAAAAATTAGGTCAGAAATGGAGATTATTCAAATGTACAAATGCAGAAGCCTGACCCTGCAAAACCCCATTTATGCAGCCGAGTTCCAAAATGCTTTTGAGTGCTCGATGACTCACTGTGGCTTCTTCTCTGGCTGGTTTAGTGTAGGCAAGAGGTTAGCCGACTAGGGGAAATTAAAACAATGTTGTACATTATATTGTTACCAGCCATCGAAAAGCCTATTTTGTATGCAAGACAGCAATGCTGAGATATATGGAGAGCCCTAGGCTAAGTACAGAAGATAATTACATTTGGAATTTTACTGAGTTAAGTCATTTACAGCTTCAAATAGTTGCAGAGAAAAATCAGCCAAAACACACTTAAAACTTTTTGTTGTGACTTTTCAGGCTAGAAAGGATTTTTTTTAAAAAAATTAGTTATTATCTTATATGACAAATTACATTTTTTAGTAGAATTTTTCTCAAAAGTTATTTTCTCCGGCTAGTTAATACTTTTTCCATTCAAACTATGGATATAAGCTTATTAGGACATTAGTGAGATATTTATACAGGAACAGGACACATCATACAATTCTCCAAATTTTATATGAGTCTTTGGAAACATCTTTAAATTTTTAGCATGGCTACTGAGAAGGAAAAAAAAGTAGATTTAATCCACCTCCCCGATGTTCACTGATGATTAAAGTACAGTAATGCCCTGAAAATCTGGATTCAACAGAATAAACTATATGACTGTTATTACCGGAATTTGTACATATTGATGGTATTTATAAAATGATGCAAGTTCCTACATTTATTTCTTTTTTTTTTCATAAAATTGAATTTTTAATATGGGCTGAAATAAATTGTTTACCAGAGTTGTCATGATTTGTCATGGCAGATAGGCATTCCAAACTGCAAATTTGAGTCTTGGGCCATTGTTGATTACTCAGGAACCGAGTATCTTTTTTTTTTTTTTTTAAATCTTTTTTGGAGAGTGTCTCACTCTGTCACCCAGGCTAGAGTGTAGCGGCATCTTGATAGCTCACTGCTACCTCAGACTCCTGGGCTCAAGCAGTCCTCCTGCCTCAGCCTCCTGAGTAGCTGGGACTATAGGCATGCGCCACCATCCCTGGCTAGTTTTTCTATTTTTTGTGGAGATGGGGGTCTCACTCCTCCTGCTCAGCCTGGTCTTGCACTCTAATCTCAAGCGATCCTCCTGCCTTGGCCTCCCAGAGTCCTAGAATTATAGACGAGAGCCACCATGCCTGGCCTCTGTTATTTAAATTATTCTTCACTCTCCACAAAGACAGGTCAGGAGAAAGATCTTGAAGTAGACCACCAATAAGTCAACGAGGCTACCTCCTGGCAGCTTTAATGTTGTTTTTTGGTGGGTGTGGCCTAGAAGTCATACGGACCTGTAGAAGGATTCTTTGATTATTTGTAGATTTCATTTATTCATAGATTTCCTTTCATCTTTCAACCCTAAATCAAACAGAAGGCAGGGGTTTTTTTGTTTTTTTGTTTTTTTTGACTTGTGGTAGAAATCAAAGATGATCTGGCCAGAAGTTACAGTGCAGTAGTTACCTGTGATGTTCTTAATAATATCAATATTTCTGCTGGGGAGTTTGCTTTCATGGAAGAAAGGAACAGGCTAATTCTGACATGTTTGGTTTCTTCAAAGCTTGAGAGAATTCTCAGAGTGTTGAAACATAGTCCTTGTCCAGAGCAACCTACAGACTTGGGGCCAAATCTTACAAGCTAAGGAAGATTTTTACATTTTAAGTGGTTGGTGGGGGAAAAAAAAAAATCAAAAGGAGAATAATATTTCATGACTGGTGACTATTCTGTGCAGTTCAAGTTTTAGAGCCCTGTTAAGGTCATCTTAGAACACAGCCATGCCTATGTCCATTGATTTTCTTATTATCTATGGCTGCTTTTGCACTGCAGTAGTGGTTTAGTCATTGCAGCAGAATCTAGATGGCCTGCAAAGCTGACAATATTTATTTATTTATTTTTCTGTTTATTTTTTTATTTTTCTTTCATATAAAATAAAAATATTTATTACCTGGCTCTTTCAGAAGTCTGCCAAGCAACCCCTGTTCAAGAGAATCAGAAAAATAATTTGCATTGCATTATTAGCAACTTGCCCCCTTGGTTTCCTGGCTGCCTATAGTTCTGCTCACCCCTTTTTGCCTCTGCATTCTTAGCAATGGTGTATAAACCAGTTTAGTCATCAAATCGGTCAGGTTTCCCTGTTTAGCAGCTTCATGTGACAAGTGCTTGCCAGTCTTGGGGTCATGGAAGACTGGCTAAGGGATATTCATTCATTCATTCATTCATTCACTCACTCACTCACTCACTCACTCACTCACTCACCCGTCCATCCGTCCATCCGTCCATCCGTCCATCCATCCATCCATCCACTACTTTAGCCAGGGGTCCTCAAACTACGACCCGCGGGCCACATTCGGCCAGCCGAGGACATTTATCCGGCCCGCCTGGTGTTTTTGCTGTTGCTGCCTGTCCTGCTTAGCAGCCAACTCGTCCCAGGCCCACAGTGCGCATGTGTGGAATGTGCACCGCACTCTCCAATGGCCTGAGAGACAGCAAACTGGCCCCCTGTTTAAAAAGTTTGAGGACCCCTGACTTTAGCAAAACATTCCTAAGAACCTATTCCATACAACAGTGATTGAAACAGACAGGTTTTGCTTTCCTCATTCTTACATTCTAGAAAGAAAAACTGACTACAAAGTAATTTCCCAATGATGCTGTCTGCGAGTCGACACTAGTAGATTCTTGAAAACACCAGAAACTTAGATAAAGAGGGTTTTAATGCTTGAAAGTGTCCACACCAAAGCGAGATTGTATATCCATGAGTTACTATGCAAGCAGATGACATCGACACGAAAATGTGAACAGTCTTTAGTTTTTAAAGAACTGGCGCCCTGAGACAGAGTTAAGAGAGAAGCCTCCACCAAGAGTTAGATTGGGAGTCTTTGGGGGGCTGACCTAGCACATTTGGGGGGCTTTGAGACACAGTGCAATCGTACTCAAAGCTAGATTCCTTTTAGGCTCCCCGTTTCTCTGAAGTTCAGCGTTTCTGTTTGCTGTTGCAGTTGCCATTTCATGCACCTGTCTAGAAACATGTTCTTTTCGTTTGCTTAACTACCAGCCACTGTGCCCAAAGAACCCGAGATCCTGGGGCAGTCATGTCCCTACGGCAGCAAGGACACTCTGAAGCAGGGGTCCTCAAACTTTTTAAACAGGGGGCCCAGGTCACTGTCCCTCAGACCGTTGGAGAGTGCGCACTGTGGGCCCAGGACGAGTCGGCTGCTAAGCAGGACAGGCAGCGGGGGCAGAAACACCCGGCAGGCCGGATAGATGTCCCCGGAGGGCCACATGTGGCCCGTGGGCCGTAGTTTGAGGACGCCTGCTCTAAAGAGACATGCTTGTGCTCAAACAGCCCCACCCGTCTGCATGTCCTGTTGGCATCATCCCGATTCTCTCAGCCACAGGCTGGTGTGTCACCTCCTAGAGAGGCATCCTGCATAGACTGGACTTCTTTTCCCCTTAAAGAAAGCGTTTCCAAGTCCAGGAAATAATACCCGAAACTCCACGCATCTCTCAAAGTATATTATAAAACGACCATTGACTAACTGGAATTTGAAAATCATTTTTGCACCACTTAGCATCACAGGAAAGAGCATTTGAGGTTTGAACAATTCCCAGAGGGCAGCTGCAGTTTTAGAGTAGGAGGAGAAATCCTGCTACCACCCAGACTCACAGGGCCTCTCTCGCTCTCTGCAGAGTGGTACCGAAAGCCACTGGTGTTTTGTTTACACCTGGTACAGAGAGACCACACGTGCGCCCTCACTGTAAAAACAAACCCAGTAAGCTCACATGTGATCTTAAGAGTATCCATCCATGGTGGGTCATTGCATCTACCCTGCAGGGTTGTCATAAGAAAATTCCACAGGAGAATTCAGAGGGCAAAGTCTGTCAGTTCCTAAACCAACCAAAGGTGGTGAATGTCACTTGAGAGCTGTCCTGTTGTCTGTCTGTACAGCCCCCTTAAAAATGAATCTCAGAAGCTTTTTCTCTGACCTCAAATGG